CAGAATGTGGGAATACAGAAGATGCGTATAAGAAGAGGAACTCTCTGATAGTTATAATTTTCATCTGAGTTCTGCACTTCATAATCTTAAATGTGTTTATTCAGAGATCATTGCAGTAGTCATTCCTTCAGAAGCATGCTGTAGATGTTCCCCTACACATTGACCTGGGAGAGCGTCCCACTGAGGAAAATGAAGAGAAACACAAGATTGCATTGTTATTATCCTACTGTAAGGTAAAGTATACATCAGGAACCTAGACTGAAGTGCAGATCTGCTGATCCTGATGCAGAACTTCCTTAATGTTGACTGCAGATTGTCTAGGGCTGTCATAAGTTTAATCAGCACACCATGCCCCTGAAGCTTAGGTGGGCTAAAGTACCTTGCATGTGCTCAATATTGACTGAGAAAAAGGGAGAGAATCTGTCCCCCCCCCCACAAAAAAGCTCACCATTTTCATTAGGAATATAGTGTAATAAAAGGTTTAATCCTTGTCTATATTATTATATCTGACAGGCTTAGCGAGGTTAATGTCAAGGGTACTTTGGTTCTCCACCTATATACATGTAACAGAAAGCACTGCATACTCTTCTGCTTCCATTTCCTTCCACTTCTTCCATTGACTACTTCGTGTTCATTAGCAAATTGCATGCTTTTACAACAAAGACATCTTCACAGAATTTGTCCAGCATCACATATGAATAGCTTTTCCTCTATTACTTCAATAAAAGCTTCCTTCTTACCAAAGATAGCAAATCCTCCTGTAATACAGTTGGAAGATATGAAGATGGGGACATGTTACTGTGGCCAGTCAATGCTATTAACAGGAGCAAGGAAAACCTATTTGCCTCCAGTGCAAAGCCCTTCACTTTTCTCACTCAACATTCAAAAGGAAAAGCCAACAAGAAACCTCCCTGATGCTTCTTCCAGGTGGGACCCATTCTGCTATTCCTGAAACAAAAGACTTATTAGCTTGAGAAAAACTACACAGCTACAGAACCACAAGGGAGCTTTATCACTGGAGGGGAGACATTCCAATGTATCTATTGCCAGATCAACAAATGTCATGCTTCCCATTTTATCCAGAAATGCATTAAGGGCCCCAAGGGGTTACATTAATTGCTTATTGGCAGCGACTGACTCAAATGATGATGATTAAATGTTTCTCCACAAATCTCCCAGTATCATCTTGTATTTCACAGCTGTGAAGGCTTTCTTTACAGCATGTAACTTTAGCTTCAAAATATGCAACTGTCTCATTGAGTAAGCTACTGTACCAAGACATAGGCTTTGATACAAACAAAATCTGTCTTGATTAATTCATGCTAGGTTTTCCTTTCCAGGGCAGTGATTTTTGTTTTTAAAAAGCATTCTGGGTTTCTGCAACTTAAAGTTGAAGAGTGACAGCAGAAGAATGTTATGTAAGATGTCTAATTCCATAGCTTTGACAAACTCACATTTAGCTGCCATAACCTGAAATTATAGCATGGTTTCTCTTTTAAAAAATGTACAAGAGGCAATCTATAGATATTAATACAGTGAAATAAAAAGTGGCTGGGGATGGAGGTGGGTCATTACTAAGCAGCAGGTACAAAATGCTAATTATCTGGGATCAGAAATCGATCATAACTCGTTAATATCTATTAATGTTAACCTATTTGTTTCAATGTTATTCCTTGCCACATCAAGGAATATGAATAGTCATAAAATGGTTGCTGTTTCACGTATTTGATCTGGCCGGTTTACTGCACATGCACTTCAGTTTTTTAATTTTTCTTTTACATGCACACCCATCAAATTCTTAATCAGGAGCACTGGGAGAAGAATGGCATAGAAATGTTAGCATGTACTTTACAGGAAATAGATTTGTTTGGAAACATGATGAAACTGAAATTGGATGGAACTCAAAAACTGGATTCATAAACCACGCTGATTAAAATTCGCTGACATCACCCAACATGCTAAGTGATAGATCAGCTTACGAGCCAAAATGGCTAGGTACATACATGCTAAATTACAAAGTGTGCGAGCTCAGTCAAAATTCTTAAGTGAACATAAATGGCTTTTTCATCACAGCCTTGTACATTAAAAGGCTGGGCTCCAAATATAGCATCAAGAAAACCCAAACTGTGTACTTACGCATTATCCAAACATTATATGTAGTTGTTCAATACAGTATTCATTCTGCTACTGTACTGCTAAACATTGGTAGAAACTTACTGAGTTCAGAGCATCAAAGCTTCACTCCAAATCTTTGCAATATACTGGGTTTTAACTTTCTCTTAGCTTTTCACAGTTGGTTATACTGTTGTTTATTTTTGCCAATTTTAGAAGGGGCATACATACTACAAGATTGTGGGTCTTATTTTCTATCACATTGGAACTCAGATCCATCAGCCAAAAGCTGAGTCAAGCTCAGGCAATAGACATTAATAATTGAGGGAAAATGTGCATATGCACAGCCAATAGTTTATCAGTACCAAAACCAAGTTCACGATCCTTTCCCATCAGAACCCACTTCTGGTTTTTTCACAATCAGCAGTCCAATGGGGTTTGGGCTTTATGCTGTTGCAAAGCTAGAAAATGTTGCTATCCACTGTAAGTCACTTATGTTATTATTAGTAAAGCTCATTCTTAACTTTAGTCCACTTCTGGAACACACAGCTAAAGCCTGGCTTTAAAAATGAGTGAGTCCCAAGATGCTGAACCCCAATGCCAGCTTCAGTTCTTGCGCTGTGACTTTAGCACACTTACGTTCAATTAATCATTTTGTTATCATTATGTTCCTCAATGTACATTTAAGAGAGTTTTTTTTTTAAATAAGTGAATTTTAATTTCTCACAGAATTTACAGGTGATCCTGAATGCTAAACAGGAGAAATTTTTTAGAAGTGCACACAGCTTGAGTCTAAAAAAGAAAACATTTTATTTTTAAAGAAAATATCTCAAGTTTGAGCAGTTTTTTCATTGCATTTATATACATTTAGACTCTAACTTTTGAAAATGTTCCTTCACCCACACATATCATTCCAAGTTATCATGCAGTTTAGCACTCATTAATTTGCAACACATTGCTGCATTGTCATCGTATCCAAAATAAAATACAAATCTAATTTGTAAGTATTTCATACCGATTTTAGTGTCACTTTGGAACTTCCTATAACTCCTGAATATGTTGCATGGAAATAGATGTAGATGAGTAAAATAAGGCACAAGAACATTTGACTGTCCCACTAGCTTAAGCTAGTTCCAGCAGAGAGCCCTGCAATTCTTGTGTGCAAAGAAGGGTAGGAAATCTCATGTTCTCAAGATAGTTTGATCTACAAGTTCCATAAATCACAGCATAGTCAAAGGTCAAGAATTATATGGAAGCTGTTGTTCAGAACTCTGAAGAGCATTACGTTGCCTATTTCTTTATATCCACATAATCACTTTCTTGGTTACTATACAGGAACTGAGGACATTGCTTTGGGAATAAGAGATTTGAAGAGACAATGCAAGACATTAAGATTATTAGACTTTTGTACCAACCTAGACAAAAGACAATTTCACCTCAATTAACTATATCATATTGATATTTTCTTTCAGGAAAACACTGAGAAGATTTCCGTTAACATCTCTGGACTACAGGCATTTAATCAAGTATTTCATTTCCCCAAATGACCTGGATTTTATTGATGGTGACTTTTATCCACAGGATTCAGTATTATCCAAAGCTATAAAAATAACAACAAGCTATAGTATACTGCAGATATTTCAGTATAGCTTGTAGTTTTGTAGAAATTTACTGCATTTTATACAGAAGATGAACAATTAAAACAAATGCAATGAGCTATAAATATGCAACTAAAATCAAGTTTTAAATTTTACATTATGTTTTATTGTACCTGTTTACGTCATGATTTTATTCTTTTATTAGCAAACTGCCCCAAATTCCTCAGCTAATGGAATGGTATACAAATGCAGTAAACATTAAAATGTTTATACAATAAAATAAATAATGCTTTGTACAAGATTATCTTGCCGAGGTGAAAGTAAATTGTTTCCTTACCTGCAATATTAATGTCATATTTATTTCATGTTATATTAAACCATGCACTTCAAAAATAAAAACAACACAATGTAATACACATGGCATTTCTCAGTAAGAGAAATACTTTTTTCCCCCCCAAGGATATATATAAAAAAGCTATTCACGTAGATGGTTCCCTTAAGCTGTGCTATACAAATGAATTTGGGAGTAAATCCCACTGACCTCATTGGGATTTATCTCTGAGAACATATGAGCAATGCTCTATACACTCAATGTCTGCTACCACAATAAATTATTTTGGTCTGAACTGTCTTGAGGATGTTGACAATCTAAAAAGTCTGTGCTGTGATCAGTTTTACTGTTAAGAAAAAATTCTTAATTTCAAATAATCTTAAATGGCTATGCAGATTATATTACAGCCCAACTATCTGAAACAGGGAAATTAAGGTATTTACTTGGAATCAGAATAATTTATATGTAAATGCAATATAGCTTTCTGGTTCTGAATAGTTGGCGGCATCTATAGAGTCTCCATTCTTGAAGACTCTTCACGTTTTCCTAGTTATGCAAGGCTATTATTAACACACATTTACAGAAATTGCATTGCAATCTGAATAAACAGCATGAGTATATAAACTAGCATTTGTGACATTAACTTATGAGAGTAAATACAGCTAACACAAAAACAAGAGGAAGCAAATTAATTTCTCAGTGATGAGCTGTTCTACAAATTACTAATCATCACATAGAATGCATCCAATGTGGAAAATGGAATTTAAATAACAGTTAATCTTCAACTGATTGGTGAACATCCAATGCAAATGGATACCAATAATACACAGAGATCCAGTAAACCTGCACCAGATACCCAAACTGTACTTCAGGTCTATATAATACTGTTTTGTGCTTTGCTAAAGATCAAGTGTTTGTAATCAAGATCTTGAATGGGAAAACCAAGAGGCAAGCTTACGTGCACTAGTAAAATACATCTATTTTATTTTCCAGTATCCAGATGCTGCCCATTACATTTTCCTGTACAAAATATTTGAAACACCCATCTTTTTGCATCTAATTGAGGTTGAGACTTGAAAACAGCATTTTCCTCAGAGTTTATCCTTTATAAAATTAAAAGCAACTTACTTTAATAGACAAGACATTTTCTCAGAAATATTTTTTATCTCCATGTGTGATCAGTTAATTCAATTTAAAATGTTGGAATGAAGAAATAAAAACATTAAAACAAGAGACCAAAAACTAGCATCTTCAAAGCTCCAGCTCACCACCCACGTTTTTCAAGGTGCTTGTCTGCAAGCAATTTGAAGGAGAGTCCGCAAAGTGATTTTCGCAAACTCAGAAATCTTGTAGTTATACATAAAAATTACTACAATAACTCCTAGAGAACAAAAAGCTTAAGAACTTGTGCTTTTTGACCATCATTTTGTAAGGAATTCACTATCAAGTGCAATTTATCTTTAAACCACTTTGCACCCAATTGCCTGGTTATCACGACTGTCTGCATAAGAAGTGATTTTGAGGTTTATTATACTGTTGCTCTAAAATCTGTTATACAGCATGTGATCTCATTGAATAAACAAATATGTTGACTTATCAGAAGTAATACAACAAGCATCCCAGTCTAGCTGAAACAATTTGATTAAATAATTATAGCCCTTAAAATGCTTGTTTTCATTCATTTTTTTTATACAAGATTCAGCCTTCAATAATTTTTTCCCCAGACCCCTACACTTGTCTCTTTGTGTTTCAAGGAGATAATAACAAACACAGTACATGTACTCTGGGAATATGTAATTCTCTATTAGCTGACCAATTTTGGTAGCACAGTACATAGAGGCATATTGGCATTTGAATCAGACATTAGATTAGCTCTCAGTTTGTTTGCTACCCCAACAACTGGGGGTAATCTGGAACCTATCCCTGGGAAAGAGCTTGTATAGTGAGCAATCCGTTTGCCTGAACTTTTGTCCACGCTGGGAGGCTTAGGTACTCGTTTACAAATCCAAGGATGTCTTAAAGCCTGGCTAGGAGTCATCCGTGCAGAAGGATCCCAATTAAGACATTCTTTTAAGAATTCTATAAACAAAGGGTCATCACAGCCTTTTAAGGCTGTGATCCAGTCCTTGTTGCCTGGAGCACCACGCATTTTACCCCTTCGTGATCTGCTACCATTAAGAGTAACTTTCCCATCTGCTTGTGTTGTTACAGTGCAATAGCGAGGATGACCTTTCGAATTGATGAAGTTTTTGGCTCGCTTGGATTGGTCTAGCAATTTCTGTGGGGGCATTCCAAGGAGCTCCATCATACAAGCTAGCTGATCACCCTCATCCTCTCCTGGAAACAAAGGATAACCAGTCAGAAGTTCCACGAGAATACAACCAAAACTCCACATATCTATGGGCATCCCATAGCGACTTCCCAGGATAACTTCTGGGGCTCTGTAAAACCGAGACTGTATGTAAGTATAAACTCTTTGGTGCTCAAAACAGCTAGATCCAAAATCAATTACTTTGATTCCACTCCGCCCTTGCTGTTTCAGAAGAATATTTTCAGGTTTTAAGTCACAATGTATAATTTTGTTTCTGTAAAGCCCCTCCAGGCATTGCAATATTGAGTGGGCAAATTTACGTACAAGCTGCACACTGAAGCCTTGAAACTTATTTCTTTTGATCAGCTCATACAGATTCATGCTCAAGAGCTCAAAGGTCATACATATGTGATTTCGAAAGGTAAAACTTTCTAGCATGTGAATAACATTCATGCTGCCAGTTTTATCTTGCTTTTTGAGATGTTCCAAGATGCGTATTTCTTCTGCCGCTTGCCGGTGAAATCGTTTCTCGTTGCGTACCATCTTTAGAGCCAAATGGTGGTGGTGTTTGTGATCAAACACTTTCGCTACTTGGCCAAAGCTGCCTTTCCCAATTATTTTAAGCACTTCATATCGGTAGGCAAGATGGTCATGAGGTACATGAATGTAGCTGCCTTGCTCATCATCATATCCACCATTGTTTGGGCCACCAATGACTCCTTGTCTTTTCTTTGCATTTGGGCCCACAAAATAGATTTCAGGAAAATTAAATATTTCTTGTTGCTCGTAGGCTGTTAACTGCTGCTTATATTGCTTCAGTGCTTGCTCTGCAGACTGACAACCAGCTTTCTGTGCTTTTATGGAGCTGCCACTATTTTTGATGGTGCATATACTATCAGTGCTTTTATCTTTTGCTGGAGTTGGAAATGACCTTTCAGAGCCATTTATTCCAGAGGACTGCAGAGTGCTGCTCCTTCTATTTCCAGAGTCTTCAAATAATTGCTCAACTTTGACTTGGCTCCCAGTCAAAGGATGATCCTTCATTGTGACTGTGTTACTAGTTACCTTTAGGGATGAAACAGAGAAAGTCCTTAGAATTCAACACAAATTTAACATTTAACTTCAGAGGGAATATATAGAAATATACTAATGTTTACATAAACCCGATGTAGTATATTTTATATTCGCATGCACTAAAGTAATTCTGCAACATCTATTCTTCAACCAGCATAGCGGCATGTAATGAAAGCATGGCTTGAAGCAACCAATAACCTGTAAATTAGTTTTACTAGCCTGGAATCAGTAACAGTAAGTTACAGGAAAGCAAAAATGTAGCAGATCACAAATAAGCATGCAGATAAACAGCAGCAGATTATGACTTTCCAAAAGGGTTAAGACAGAATTAGTGAATAATTTGATTATCAAGAATTCCACACTGCTCTCAAATTAGTACATTCCTACCTCTCATTCACTTTTTATCTGCAGTTGTATGAAGGTACACATGTATGTTTTCTATTACTTCTAGAATACTAACTTATTTTTGAGCCCTACAAAGAGTTTTGTTACCCTATGCAAACAAGGAACTAAATATTTTCCCTGCAAAATTGCAAATCAAAAATAGAAAACATTAAAAACGATTTATCTCTATTTGAAATAACTGTAACATTTGGAGATTCTCTTCAAATTCTATTTCAGTAAAGGCAATGTGCATAATAGGCTTCAAAGCAATGCCATGAAGCAAAGCAATACCCTATTCTAAAAGTGGTACAGAGCAGCCACCTTGCAAGAGCACTGAATGAATGAGCCACTCTTACAGAATTTGGGTTAGAGCAGCTCCAATTTGCAAAATACCTTGTTGAGGTCCACAAAGCAGACCAGCATAAGTCTGACATACTTAATTGATTCTGCAAGAAAGCTGCAAGGTACCATGCTATATTATGAAACAATTGTAAGTAGTGCTGAGATATCTTCTATTTTAGCCTTAAATCTCCAAATAATGACATCAGCCCTTGCACCTAAATAGCAGCTTTTATTTCTTTAAAAATATGTATGCTTGAACTAGCCAACAAATGATGGTATCTTGTTTCATTTTTATAGCAAATTTATTACTCCACCAAAACAGCAAATTAATAACTCTTGTGAAAAGTTATTTGTATACCTTTTCAATGAAATGCCAAAACACAGTTACGACATTGGTTCAGAAAATGCAGTTTCAGGACACCAAGATCTGTATTTTACAGCTTAACTGCTATATCTGTTTGGAAAATATAGACAGTATATTTTGAGACACACACCTTTCCTAGAAGTCACAGAAAATATGATCCAGAGAATTAGCATTTTATTAACAGATTCTTCAGTATCTTATGGCTGAACTGAGGAGAAAGAAAGAGGAATGCTATAAAATTCTGAATAAGTTGGCCCCTCCCAGCACATTAATCCAAGTATCAGCAATTCTTTATTAATTTAGAACAACCAGGTTTCAAAGAAGACATCTATTTTCAGAAACATCTGATCTTCTAGTGGACAAAAGAATTCTGGACACATTATTTTCATTTTGCAGATAATGGTGGCCAAAAAAACAAAAGAATAGCAACACAGAGAGTCCAACAGGAAATGAATGTGAACTGTAATTTTGTCCCACATAAAATATTTAGGTACAATATAAGCTGGAAAAAAGTCTGAAGTTAAACATTAGTAATATATTTATATTTACTTTGAAGTAACACAGCATAATGAAGAAACAATTGGCAATGAAAGAAGCTATTCTGTTACTGGATAAATATGAAATGAACGCAAAGTAGCGAGAAATTGACTCACAAGAGGATAACTTTGGGGCTGTATACATACGAGAGAGTAGGATGCTTTAGACTGAACCACTGTAGAAATAAAATGAGAAGCATTTCTCACATCTGTTCTTTGAGTAGTGGAAAATTCAGCCTTCAAGCTATGCTCCATGGAAACTGTATACAACAGTTTATATTTTACCATAAAAAGCAAGTTTCTAGTTTTCATATGCCAGACAAAAAGATAGCCAATTACCAGAAAAATATGACTCAGAAATCCAGAAGATTTGGGAAAAAAATGATAGATACTTAGTCCTCCAATGGCTATGGAGTGCAGGCAGGCAGGTGGGTGCCATGGAGTGTGGGTGGGCAAAAAAGTGATGGGAGCAGGAGCTACTTGCGACCTCCTGCCGGCTTCCCCATTGACTATGCTTGTGGGAAGCCAGCAGGGAAGGTCGCAAATGGTGATCACATGACTGTGGGATGCTGCAACCATCGTAATTGTGAGCTGATTGCCAAGTGCTCAAATCATAATCGCATGATCGCAGGGATGCTGCAACAACCACAACTTTGAGGACTGGTCATAAGTCCCTTTTGTTCAGCACTGTTTTAACTTTTTGCTGAATTGCTGAATGAGTAGCCGTAACCCGAGGACCACCTGTACAAACAACAGGACACGCAGATGAGCTTCTCATATTGCCCATATATAGAGAAAATGATTCCACGTACGTGGTATGTGGCATATCTCTGTGATGTTTTCTTCCCATCATACACATATCATACACAAGACAACCTCAATGTCCTCCATTGAATTAGCCGTTATTATACAGAAATAAGAAGCCTGGATTATAAAATCTGACACATACAGATGCAAGCCTCTTTATACAGTATCACTACATATAGATAATACTAATCTGACCACCAGTAATATGGCTTGTCAATAATGCAACTATGAGGTTACTCACTGAAATCAATAGTAAGGAAGCTATCATACAAAGGTATTCTAGTTTCTTTGGTTGTCTGTTCATTTTCATTATTTATTTAAAGCTCTAAACATTCTCTCAACTTGCATACAAATGCTACTACCTACCTCCCTGAGCAGCTGGAGATTTCCTGTACACCTGACATTTGGGTAAGATGCACTTGGGTGGAACAACAAGAAAAAGATCCTTTTCTGTGGCACTGAGATAACAGAACTCTGAGATATTTGCTTTGAATCTTCTCACTTTGGGGGGGGGTGTCAAGTGAGCATGCTAGCATTTGGTTTAGCACTTCTGTTTGATCTATTAAGACTTTCTTTGTGAACTTGATGTGACATTACTTATCTTGTTTTATTAGAAGACTATGATTTTAGACATATTCTCTTGTAATATTATAACACATACAGTGGTACCTCGGTTCACGAACTTAATTCGTTCCGTGACTCTGGTCGCAACCCGAATTGGTCGCAACCCGAATCAAATTTTCCCATAAGGTTCAATATAAATAGTTAATCCGTTCTGACCCCTACGAATTTGGTCGCGACCCGATTTTGGTCACATCCCGAATCAAATTTTCCCATAAGGTTCAATGTAATTACGGTTAATCCGTTCTGACCCCTACGAATTTGGTCGCGACCCGATTTTGGTCACATCCCGAATCAAATTTTCCCATAAGGTTCAATGTAATTACGGTTAATCCGTTCTGAACCATATGTTTTTTTTTTTTTAAACCACAAAAATATGACACAAAATACAGTATGAAGAGAGAGAACCCTAACCTTGCTCGATGCGACTTCTGGCGTGGAGGACAGGAAGGTGGGTGGGGAGGCGGTTATTGCTTGGGGGGAGAGTCCCCTTCCCTACAGGAAGCCACGTCCATGTGTCACGGCAGGGAAAATGGCCGCGGATCCTGTTCGTCACCCGATCCGGCGTTCGCGAACGGAAGCAAAATTTCGCGAGCGGTGCTGTTCGTGACCTGAATTGGTCGTGAACAGAAGCGTTTGTGACCCGAGGTACCACTGTACTGGTGAACTTCCCCACTCTTAGAACAGAAAGATGAGGAAACCATCCTAAAATAAATGCATCCTTTTAATTAAATGTAAATAATTGGCAGTACAGAATTTACCAATTTAAAACACAGTTTTAAAAACAGTAATAGAAAACAGATGTGAGAGAGCAATGGTAATGGCGGGACAGGTAGGAAGCAAACAGGACTAGGCATGGCATATATCTTTCTCCAGCCATCCACATCTGGATCAAAATCTAGGCCAGATCCAAGAGACTTGTGTGGAGAAAAAGAAGAGTTACAGACTTCTGTGGAAAAGGCCTCAAATTCAATTCCTGGTATTTCTAGGCCTGCAAAAGTTCAAGCCCCTACATGGCTAGGCAATGTAGGTAATACTGGAGTTAAACAGATGAACTGCCCAACATAGTATCACATAGCTTCTTATGGTCTTAAGAATCCTAATGTAGTAGAATCATACATGTCTTACAGGTGAACTTACGGAATGGGCCGTAAGAGTTGCAGGTCCTGAGCTTGGTAGCTAAGAAGTCTATGTCCTTATTCTATTCAAAAACCCACCCTGAGACCACTGAGTTAAGAAATGAATGACTCCCTCTTACTCATGCTCTGTTTGTTCACTGCAAGTAACAAAGAAACAGCTGTGACAAACAGCTTCAAAAACAGAGTGGGTTTTGGGAAAAAAAACATGGATGGAACTGCAATCTTTTCAGTGCCAGCAACATTTACTTATCTGCATGCCATATAATAGCTTAGCAGGTGCTGGAAATGGTTTCACCACATTACTGTCAATCAAGCAGCTTTCGATAATATAGCTGCTCACTTGAGCATGAAGACTGGCAATCCCACAGAGAAAAGTCAGAATCACACTAGTTAGTCATGCTATAGGCTTAATTTAGTTCACATAGCATTGGCAGCACTGTTGGAGGCTTACCTGTGGAAAGTTTGAGACATACAAAAATAACAATTTGCAGTAATCAAGAGCTACAATGTATATTTCAGACTGAGTTGCTCAATGTTGTTGATAAGCAAGTGAGTGTATTGCTACTTAGATACTGTTCTAATATTCTTTAGTTCTCATTCTACTCCTGTTGCAGAATGGACTGCAGGCAGTACTAACCACAGGAACAAGTAACAGTAGAAATGTGATTACAGCAAATGTTTGTTCTGCTCAATTTAACCAACTTGTGATCCCTCTAGCTGCAGAAGCAATCACAATGCTTTGGCTAGCAATCAACAAGTGGACTGCTTTTCATTCCCCAGCAGAAAGCTTACCTTCTGTGACCATTAAGAGTTCCCTCTTTTTGCATATATATAGCCATATATCTCTTGTGACCAGCTGTAAATAGTTACATGATACCAAGTTAACAATACTAGAATGGGAGGAGGTGAAATGACCGCAGTAGCCACTCTTATACATTTCTTATGTGATGTGATGAATGTTAGAAAATAACTGTACAGAAAAGACTAAGAATTGCTAATGTTATCTTAATTATTTAAAACAGTAAAAAGGGCTGGCATAGTGATTTATAATTTTTAAAACATCAATCTTTTGTGATTTAGTGAAAATCATCTTAGCTCATGTTTATTTTATTTATCGAATTTGTATCCTGCCTGACTTCCAACAACTGTCTAAATACAAAAAATAAATTGTTAGGGTAAAATAGATGCATCATTGCCAGTGAAAGGAATTTACCCATTCTTAAGGTTTTTAGGAGGGCTACATTCTACTGTTAGATAGCTAAGAATCTTACTTCTCTCCACTACAACAATCAGTATGTTCACATACAACTATCTTGTTGTTCATCTTTGGTAACCTGACTGCACTGAAACAACTGGGATGTATAGAGTCTTCTCACAAGTAGAGACAACAGATTGTCAGCTCTTTGAGGTAGGTAAAGTCAGGAAACAGGAGTCCCTAAGAGTCTTGGAATGTACTTTATTGTGCTTATGGCACTGTAACAAAATATTGAAAGCCAAACACCTTCTCTACTTCAGCTTCTGCCTAACACAATCAAGGCAGAATTATTTTGAGTTTCTTTCTCATACTTTCTACTTTCCTAGGATTCAAATATATTTTCTTCAATTCTCTACATTCTCCAGACATCCCATTACATAGATTATGGACAAACGACTTTTAGCAGACTGACCCACATTACAATTTTAACTTCAGGTTTCATTTTCAGTCAGATGACTTCAGAGTAACCTGTCATCCTCCCTCCAACACTTCCTCTTGGACCATATCATTTATTTAGTCCATAGATTCAGCTGTTAGCTGCCAAGAGAACTGAATTGAGAACACATACAGGGTGTTGCTCATCTCAACTTTCATTCATTTTAAGTAACTCCAATATAACTCACATTTAGAAGACTCTCAGTACTGCACTGCTTACTTCTGAATAAATATGGCAGGGCTGCACATAAGTCTAATGGAAATTAGTCCTTCAGAAATTAAGACATACTAGGTTGAGACTATTAGAGGCCAAATGTTAGATTTTATAGTACATTTTCAAACATGTTAGTACTGTCACTGAATATGTAACAATATTTATAGCACCATATATAGCCAATGTTGAACAAATTACTGGGTATTTTATTTTTACACAAAACTTACTTATGGTAGAAAGAAAAAAAAAGACACTTATTTAAACCATTTCAACACTTTTCATTTAACTGTGCTAATGCTTTTATAAGTATTTCAGTTTTTAAAAAATTCTACCAAGTTTGATAGCACAAACATTTCTGATCAGAGCAGGCAAGTTGTAATCTATGTCCAAGCATGTTCACTCTGAAGCAAATACTGCTTGAAGTGAATTTCACAGGGGATCCTTTACCACCAGGATTGCAATCTCACTTCTACAGAGGAACTGCACCAGATATAATTCACAAATAGAAATAACTGATTTAGAGGGATTTCTTTAAATAAGTAAATAATACAGTATCCCTTTATATGTCCTCTCCCACCAAATCTGAAAATGCAAGTACAGGTATTTCATAAAAAAAAATTAAAAGATGGGAAAATTCAGTGTTACTCTGTGGAATGTCTAAGTGACTTCAACTGACCTGTCCCAGTTTATAAAACATGATTTGACCCACTATATTTGCTCCTGAATCTCTTTACCAAATTTAAATATCTTTTTTCCCTCTGACTTTTAGCTATAAGCTTCCAAGAAGCAATTATGGCATGCATGAAAGGATGCTAGAACTATACATGCCAGCCTTTTCTTTCAGTGATCAGATCTGCAGGCAAGCTTTGGTTTTACTCAGAATAGAATACTCCTGTTGCTTGAAAGTATTTGCAGAGCATCTTACTGTTACGACTGTTGCAACAGCTGGATATAATTGCTGCAACCTAACCAATCCTCTCTAGCAAGCTCACAAGATACATGACGCTGATCAAGGCATCTATAATTTCTACAAAAACAATCCGAGTGACAGAAAACACCACTGTTTCCAAAAGAAACAGCAATCTTGTTTTAATGACAGCACATAAGGGAATTCCTTTTTTATATTTTAAAAAACAGAACCAATAACTTTTCAGCCCTGTAATTAAACACTTACCTAATTGACAGTAACAGTCCTCTGAGAATATTGACTACAAATGGAGTGGTCATAGACACCACAGTACAAGATGAAACATAACTACAGTGTGAGCTCTTCTTTTCAGTAAAGAGATACTCTCCAGTGCTTACTTCTTCTGCAAAGAAATATTTACTGATTTTTTTTCTAATCTATTTTACCATAAAAACTAATTACTGTAACATTCAAAATATAACTCTTTTCAAGTCTATCAGTGAGAGAAAAGCTACTCTTGCCACTTGCACCCTCGTATTCTGAGTAAACAGTTAAAATACTAATGCAGTCATAATTGCAGTCTTAATATCTTAATGTTTGTCAACAGGAAAACATATTATCATTTAAATGTTGAAAAAGGAAAAGCCAGTTGGTTTCCCCTTTGTCAGCTGAATGGACAAGCCATAAATAGGCAAGGAGTCTACAGTTCTAGATTAACTGCCTGGTACAATGAGATGGAGGATTGTGACATCTCTTAATTCAGGTCACTTGATTAATTATGTTATTCTCTTACCTACATATGGCTATTGTTTTCTTCAGGCCATTTCCTTCAGTAGGAACACTATCCCTTATTCTACTAAGGGGAAAGGAGAAAACACTAAGAAAAGCAGTACAAGAGGTGGATGACCAGTCCCAGAAAATCTATTTGCAAGGCTATACAGTACTTGATATTTATTAAAAACAAGAAATCTCCACAAATATTAGTCGTGTAAGCTTCATCATGTTATTAAGTACAGGCAGTCCTCATTTAGCAATGACAATTGGGACCGGCTACTTGGTTGTTAAGTGAAGTGGTTGCTAAGTGAAACCACAACTGTGCTTCTGATCTTACTTCAGCTTTCCCTTGCTTTACAGACCTGTGAAGGTTGTAAATGCCAGGATTGGTTGCAAAGTTACTTTTTCATCACTGTTATAACTGCAAGCGGTTGTTGTACGAGGCAATCACTAAATGAAAACTACCTGTAACATTCTTAATCATGCTGAATAACTGGAAAAAGACATTACAAAACACAATACTTTACTTCAGCCTTCCTTGCTGATATAGATGTACTTGTTAGGGTTGTGCAATGTTTCAGGCTGTATTTGGAAGTCCCTCAGTGAGTGAGAGTGAATGTAGCACATGTGTGCAACCTGTTAAAGCAGCCATGAGATCCTGGAAACAAATGTGGCTACACACAGATGTCACATTTGTGCAACAAAGCATCTCTTCTGAATCATATCAGAAGCACTGCATAATCTTAGTATTAATATCCTGGTTTGTTAAAGGATCTAGTTTGTGTTGTCCCAGCAGTAACAAAACTCAAGAAGTGTGAAATTACTTACATTAGATCTCCCTAGTGAAGGAAAACCAGAAGGGGCACATTCTTCATTTGTAGGATCTGGATATCTAATTTGATCTATTCTCATATAAGAATCATACAAGCCATCTCCAAACCTGGCTGGAAATAACAAGATGGTCAGTCAAAATTAACACCAATTCTTATAAGCACTATGTTAAATTACAGTAATAATCCTAAACTCTTACTGGAATATTCCTACAAACCCTAAAGTCCAGCTGATGTGGCTGCAGATAATCAAAACAGAAGGAGCAGTATTTTATTTTTTCCATTTTTCATAAAAGGAAAGAAATTAAAAGAAAAAGTAAATGAGGCATTGAGCATGCACAATTCTTTTTGGTGTTTGGGGAATAACAGAGGACCAGGAATATTAGAATCAAGCACATTTTGACCTCTGCCTAATCTATCCTGCCACACTCACTTCTGGGAGATACCATACTCAGGATTGCCTTAGAAACCAGCAACAGAAATCCGTCCGATATTGGATTCTTTTCTCTGACTTGAGAAGTGAAATCCAACAAGTCTTATGGACCATGGGAATCCTCCCAAGTATCATAGGATTCCACTACTACATTGCACAGAATACCACTACAACTACTATCAGAATTGTATTTATGAGCATTTAAACTGGCATTAGAATCATGAGCTAAAGTTAGCAATCTAAAAATGTTCACCTCAGCAGTATCCATTAAAGAAATAAAATGGGGGCGATAACACAATGTTGTATTATCTATAATATGAAACTGAATTCCTTCGAAAGTAAACTTAGTTGCAAATGTTCTGCATAATAACTGTTTAGTCAGCAATTATGAATCAATATCTTGACTGAAGTAGGGAAAATTACAGCTTCAAAAATACAGTTTAAAACCCAGACACTTAATATGGAGACCATGAAACCTACTGTTATATTGAAATTTAATGCAGTAAGTATATCCTTTATATAATTATTCATCCAGTTATAATTTTACATAGACTTGCCTGGAAATAACTCCTAGAAACTAGTAGTACCATATTCATGGTTGGATGGGTGTTTATTTCCTCTGGAATAAAGACAGCTTGCCTTCAATGCTAGCAGATTGGGAACATGAATGAAGGATATTGCCCTGTCCACATTTATGACTTTCCTGAATTCATCCAGTTGGCCAGTTAGACACAGAAAACTGAACTAGAGGGGCTACTGGCCTGATCCAGCAACGCTCATGTTCTCAATGTTTGCTTCAGTATAACAATGGACTGAATGGAGTTATAAATACTCTTTTGCCTTGCCTATTTTGTTGAGAACACAAGTAATGCTCCAACCAAATAAAGCCCAACTGTTCTCCCCATGAAGTTTCATTTACTCACAAATATTTGTTGTGCAAACAAAATCTGGCAGAAATATGCAAATATTGCATTTTGTTTTTGGAAATGTTTTTTTTTAAGTGTTCTATTAAGTACTTTGAAATTTTAAAAATGCCTGTAACATGAAAAAGAAAGGAAGAATTCCTGAGCAACCTCTTGCTTAATCACAGATGCTGAATTTTTGTAAAACTTGGAGTATAAACAAGCAAATAAACATGTTGCATGGGAATTGCTGCTGACTGGAAGGAATGCTCCTTGCCTTCCAGTTAACAGTAAAAAAAAAAGAAGAAGCCAGCTAAATTACCAAAGGAAAAATCTTTTAAAATTTCCTTATGCATAATTTGGCAGTGAGTTGAAATAATCTGGCCTGCTTTAAGTCTCGAAGTCACCGTGTACCCTGAATATTTCTAGTATCCAAGATCATTTTGGACGATTACTCTTCTCTACGTTAAACACGTGAAGCGTAAAAAAAAAAAAAAGCAACTGTTGCAGCATCCCAAATAAAGACAATAGAAACCACCGTCCTTTAGTACGGTGAGGCCAACGAAAGCAACATCAATCCTCCCAACTGAGGCCCGCTTGTCCGTTACCGTTGGACGGCGGCTGCTCTGGTTGGAGGATTTTTTTTTTTGTACTGCTCATGTGATGGGAGTTTTCCATCAGTCTCTCGGGGAAACCGTCCTAAAACGTTTCTCGAGCCTGTCGTCTGCATTTTTGTCCATCATCCCCAATTCAAAATATGCAGCGCCGCGCCAGCCGGCAGTCCACGCCATCCGTACCGCCATAGATTCGGCAACGAGCCTTTTTTTCGTCCGGATCGTCCCTTTTCCCCACGTGGCCCCGCCGCCTCCTGCAAAAGTTCCAGCCCTTTTCGCAAAGACACGTGCGGGCCGTAGATCTGCTCCTCTTCCTCCGGCCAACGGACAGGGCAGCCCTGTCGTAACGCCACATCCGACCCCTCAACCCGCTTCCCGTTCCGAGACGACCGCCACCGGATCGTGCCCCCGGGATGTCTTACGACCAGGCTGGCGAAGGATGAGAAGGAAAGACTGGCTGTACGACGCAGGGCCGAAAGGAAATAGCCGAGGAGGCCGGGAATTCAGGAGGGGGACACTCTTCCTTACAAGCCCCCTCCTCCGCGGCACAGGCCATCTGCCCTCCCCCCCCGCTCCGCTGCACAAAATGCGCTCCCTGTAAAAGGTGGTTTGCCCGTGCAAAGACACGCAAGCGGCTCAGCGCCTGGAAAGCAAGATCCAGACAACCCCAAGGCCCGGCCACGATAAGCCCAGAGGAAGCAAGGACCCACGCCCGCGGAGAACGGAAAGGAGGTCCAAGAGAAGCCCGAGGAGCCCTCAAGCTTTGCGCTTCAGTACCTGCCGAGAGGGGACCTTCCGACTTCCTGCTCAGCAGCATCATAGCGAGCGGAGTAGCGGGAGAGAAGCCCGCGGGCCGTACGCCCCATCACCGTGCCCAGGCCTGCACGATCCCCAGATCCCCCGCCTTCGATGCCTCTCGCTCGCTCTGGTCGGAGGCTGTAGTCGAGCAGGCAGGGACGTGGTAGCTCTCAGAGCGCGGTTGCTAAGGGAACGTCTGCTTGGGTCGCCGTGCGCTTGCGCGGTGGGGGAGGGGCTGAGGCGAAAGAGAAGAGTGCTTTCCCCCCGCCCCCAAGCATTTCTTTAGCAGTCGAAGTAGAATGTGCTTCACTGGAGTGACTTCATTCTGCGCGTTATGTACAAAGCGTAGAGCATCTGGATTTTTTTTCAGTTTTTTTTAATCCCGCCTTTATTATTTTTATAAATAACTAAAGGCGGCGAACATACCTAATACTCCTTCCTCCTCCTCCTTGTTGTTTCCCCACAACAACCCTGTGAGGTGAGTTGGGCTGAGAGAGAGAGTGACTGGCTCAAAGCCGGCTTTCATGCCTAAAGGCGGGACTAGAACTCAAGTTTTGTTTAAAGACAATAAGAGACTTACTACCTTCTTAAGAGGCCATAATAAACGCAGAATACTTTTTGAAGTGGGACTTGGTTACTTCAAGAAAAAGCCCGTCGAAATAAATTAGCACTAACTTTATAAAGTTTACAGATGTGTATGTGGCCTGTGCTTTCGAGGACTTAATGTATTTCATCTGGTGCAAATTGGCTTTGCTGGAACAGCCAAATCCTGCTACCACACACTCTGGAAAAAAGTCAAATAAACCTAAGCGCTAAATGCTAGTGATTTTAAAACACCGCTTTTGTATAAGGGGAGATGCTTGAGAAAGTGAGGGGAGAGAGAAATCAAGAAACTTCTTACAAGAAAAGGTATGATGGTTGCTAAACTTGAGAAACAGCAGCAACTTCTATTAAGCCTTTCTCACCATCTTTCCAACTTGCATGTTCAACAATTATACATTCTTTTTTCCCCCTTAAAACAGGAATGAGCAAATCAGGTTGAAACCCACTTCCCATTAGCCTTCTCCAGTGTGACCAAAAATAGTTCAATACATGATAGTAGTTGTAGTTCAGCAATATCTGGGAGGACACATTGCTCCCTTAAAAGGGCTGGGATGATAAGAACCTTTTTCTGTTCTGATGGACATCCTCTCCAAAGGTCTGAGAAGTCACTAGAAACCCAAAACTCTCTTCAGTTTTCCTTTGACACTCAAGCCCCATATGTCCTTTGGGAAACAGAACTGTGCCTTGAGCTAAGTTTGCCTTGGCTAATTTTATTTAGTGTCTTGCTGTTCCTTTCTATTACAGGATATTAGATGGCCAGAGATTATGATTGTCCTGGAATATATAGAAATGTTAATAAGGATATAATCCTCTGGCATAGTTTTAGTTTGGTAAATTTTATTTTTGGAATGTTAAAAGTTCTGGAGAGCAAGAATTATGAAATTGCTTGTGATTATGGTTATTTTTATTTGGTGAGAAGGGTCATTGTCATGTAGGGTTAGTGGGTTTGTTTTCTGTAACTCCTAACCTTGAGAGCACAGCATTTCATATATAACATACAGGTCCATTTGTGTTTTCTTTTTAGTCTGCAATGGTGGGAAAACCTAACTGTTGAATTCCTCAGCGCTCCCTTGTGTATCAAGATTCATCCTTCTTGGAGAAGCCCCAATGGAATGTTTTAAAAAAAATCTTGTCCTATATGTAGGTTTTTTTTAAAAAGTTGGTGTGTTGAAAATTAGATTCCCAATTTGCAGCAGTCTTGATACCACACATTTCGTTTATAGTAAGAAGGGGCTACACATATGATGTGTGTTAAATGTAGTTTTTAGATTTGTTCCAAGAAGACTCTGATGAATTGGATCAAGAACAAAAGATTCCAAACCATATCCAATCTAGCCCATAAATTCATTAAACTACATTACACTGTCAGTCCAATGTTTGTCAACTCAAAGCTAAGCTGTACTGAGTTTAATGAGACTTACTCCCAAATTAATGTGTACAGGGCTGCAGCTCTAAATTGTGTTTAAAATAACTTTAACTCTGATAAGGGAGTTTTGTGACATAAGGTGTGTGTGTGTGAGAGAGAGAGAATATGTAATGCTTGATTTAAATAGAGTAAGCCAGGCTATGGCCTTTTTAGCAGCCATCCTCACTGCCAAAATTGGTGGCAAAATACATCTGATGGTCCATTTTTTCACTTATCCCTTAAAAATGTACCCTTTAATTTAAATGTGTTAAGCTTCTAGTAAATTTAATAAACTGTTTTTTAAAATGCCAAAACATTCTGACCCTCTCCCACTGATAATGTAGGATGTAATCACCAAGCCTTTTGCAGCACACAGAGGCCAAAAGCAATCTTGAATAAAAGAAATGTAGTCCTTGGCTCCCCAACAGTTGTCCTTCCTTGTTCTGGGCCTCAGATAGAAGGACTGGAATGTGCTGGTGGATTTCTGGATGTTTTACAGTAAATTAGCAAGGAGTTTTGGCAACAAATTGATTAATAATAGAAATAGGAAAAGGACTGTTTTCCTTTCTAAATGAGAATACCGAACATAAAACATTTGAAGAAAATCTAGGACTCAGAGTTTAGATTTGCCCTTTAAATCCAGGGCAAAGATGCCGTCTGTTTCCTTAATATGAGAAATGCACGTATGCACACGCCAAACTACTGTTTTGTATCTAAACAAAGAGTCTTGGCCCCTTCTGCCTGACCATTTCCGCATCTAGATTCTACTGATCAACAGGCTATAAATAGCAATTCAGTTACTTCTATACCAGTAAAAACTATATATAGAGTCTTATATTCCCAGGCAAGATTTTAATGCTTCAAACACCCTATAAACAAAAAATAATTCTCACTAGTGTGGTGCTTCTATGTTTCTTTACAATAAAAGCTTGAAGTATTGAGAAATACTCTTTATTTAGGGTGTTTCTGTATTAAACTTTTTTGTACAGTTGTCCTTTTTCATTATGAAATTGGTTGTGCCTCAAGGGCAGATTAATAGTTCTGTGAAAGTGTACTTTAGAGCCATCTGGTGCTATTAACAAGTATCACATATGTATATGCTGCTTTACTAAGAAAAAGCAAAATAGACTTTTTAAAAAAGATCCCCATTCTGCAGATCCTTAATAAAGTTTATTCAGGGCAGTGTTATTACTGAATTCTAGTACTTTTTATCTTTTATAGTCTCATAAGAAACAATACTGGGTATGTCAGTGCCATAGGACGGTTCACTGACACTACAGTATGTGAATCATGTCCAGGCATTTTTGTCTTTCTCAGAATTGGAAGGCTCTACTATGTCCAATGCTGTATCCATTTTCTTTGCTGCTATGGGGGGAAGTTTGATTGCATTCAAATACGTACTTGTAGGCTAGGACTCTTGGGGTTGGAAAATCTTTGCTGTTGAATTGAATGCTTGAGTATCTCTTAAGTGCTGCTGAGTTTCTCCAAATGTAATTAACTCTACTAAGAGAGTGAATTTCTATGACCTCCAAAGAGTACATTTTATTCTGCAGTGATAACAACGTTCTCTCTTTAAAAAAAAAAAAAACTATTATGACTCCTTCCATGGAACTATAGTTTTGTGAAAGTGCTTATTATTACCCTGATAAAGTTCTCTATTCCCTTTATAAAATCATTTAGGTTTTTGAAAGAATGATTTTATTTTTTCCTGGAGACATGTTTTTAGTGTAAAGTGAACGTCTTAAAAAATGTGAATTTCTTACTGATTACTCTAGTCCATCTCTTTATAAATGCTTTGCTTGATTCAGGAGCCAGAGCACCAATATTATTTAATATTATTAATTTATTTGACTGATAAATATGAACATTAACATAACTTTCTTTAGAAAAAGCAATAGTTAAATCATATTCAAAAATAAATGAAGGGTGTGTGTGTGTATGTTGTTTAAAAATGAGCACGTTTATTTAAATTACAGAATTAGATACTTAGGTAATATTATGATTATAAGAGAGACTATCTACTGTCCATTCTGCCCACCTGACCTGAGTGAATAGAGAGAGCCGTACTGAAGGTTCCCTCCATCAGGAGGTACAGCATGAGGGGACACAAATTGGTAGCTGCTCCCATCCTTTGGAGCAGCCTAGTCCTTGAGGCAAGAATGATTTCCACTCTTATCATCTTCCAAAGAATAGTTAATACCTGAAGATCCCATCATTATCTGTTATTAAGTCTTATTATTTTCATTACATTATGTTTAATAATATGTTTGATTTTGTACACTGCATAGACCCTCTGGAGAGAGACAGTTTATAAATCTTATAAACAAAATAATTTTTCAGAATTTCCATTCATATGTGTTCTCTTATAAAACTGTTAATCCAAAAGATCAAAAATCTTCCTAACAATTGTGAAACAGATTGTGAAACTGTTTTGCTTTACTGTATCTCCACAAGTACATTCTTTAAAAATTAGCATGTTTACTTGAATTACTGTGTGGCCCTAATTCTAAGCAAAGCACAATTATGGAGATGGATTTAGACTGAAACTAATTAAATTATCATTATAGTGTGGTCAGGACTGAAGTATTAATAATGATTCATCTGGGCAGTATGAGATAGACAATGATCTTATAAAGCCTGGCACTCATAATTGAGTAATATTGAATTTTATGGTACTATTATTAACTTTCAAAGCCAGGTCGTAGTTATTCAATGTCATACCCTAGGATCACCTACAGAGTCTTGTATTTTCCTCTCATCATTCAAAATATGACTGATAGTACAAGAGATATAGCCATTTTGAAGGTAGCAACAAAGCTATCAGAAGCTTACTTGGGATGATCAGACAGATTCCCTTTTTCCTCATTTGAAGGTGGATTCTATCCTTTATCATGGTTAATGCTGTATTTTTTAAATTGTTTTAATGTTGCTGCTGCTTCCCTTATCTAAAGAAGGTTGGAAAGACATAACATGCAACTTGGTTAAACTGAATGTCTGGCTCAAATACTAATCAGGTGGCTATGCTAGCTGCAGTTGGTCTAGTATATATGCAGGACAGCACTGTGCTTTGTATGTGTGTGTGCACGCATGCATGTGCATGCATGTATGTGTGTCTGTGCATTCGGTCAGTCTTAACTCTGGCAACTGGCTGGACTAGTCCTTGCAGTTTTCTTGGCAAGATTTTCAGAAATCTTCGTCTTGCCACTGCCTTCTTCCTAGGACTGAGAGAATGACTGGCCCAAACTCACATAGCTGGCTTTGTAACAAAGAACTTAGGGTCCTCCCAATATGTTAAGTATCTGTGTCCCTACTTTTATATGCTGCTTCCATTCCAAATGTACTTTGTGCTACTATCTGAAGACTTAGATTTTTGAGATTTGTGG